GGAAATAGAAAAAACTCTTCATTTTTCTTCTCCTCTAAAAGAGGATCACCACCTCCCAGACCCAGGCGCAGCACTGGCGCACTCCCTGCTGCGGCTATTGCAGAGGGCCTTGCTCCACACCAACCCCCCTTCCTTTTATTTTTTCTTCTGATCACCAACCTGTGTCCTATATCTTCGAAAAGCAACATAAATCAAAGAATAAAAAAGATAAAATTTATCAATAAAAAATTGATCAATGAAAAAATCTTGCTATAATTATGACATTGTTTACAGGAAAGGGAAACTAAATAATCCGACTGACACATTTTCTAGCATACATAGCTCAGCAATAAAAAATATTGCGATGATGCGTTTCATGGATTTAGCATCATAAGGAGGAGGCATCTTTTTCATATGTTGAAGACGACTGGGATCAGGTTTGAGTTTTCCTTCTTCTATAAGATAACCAAGAATCCAAAATTTGTCTTGGGAGAAGCTGCATTTATCATGATTATATGTAAGATTTATATTTTCAGCTGACTTGAGAAATTTTTCCAGATTATTATTATGCTCCTCTAAGGTTTTACCACATATTGTCACATCTAGATAAGCAAAAGTATCTAAAAGTCTTTCTCTTTCTATAAATTTGTTTATGGTATGTTGAAAACAAGAAACACCATTTTCAATTCCAAAAGACATTTGCTTAAATTGGAACAACCACCCATTTGCTTCAAAAGCTGTAAACTTTCTATCATTTTTGGTAATTATTTGGAATTTGATGGTAGGCTGATCCTTGCTAATGGGTAAGCATCTAGTTGAGTATACTTATTTATTGTTTGACTGTAGTTGATGACTAATCTTTTCTTACAGTATTCTCCTTTAGTTACAACTACCTGAGCTCTTCATAGAGAATTTGCATGTTCATAAATGTCCTCCTTAAGCTTACATTGTACTTTCGTTTCAATGAATGAATTGACTTCCTTGCTATATTTTCGAGATTTTAAAGCTATTTGTTTACAGTTACATGCATTTGTATGCATTAGTTATTAGCATTTGTATGAAGAAGAACAATAATTATAATACTTATAAGTTTTTCTATTCCAAAATAAACAAAGTAGATAATCAAAACACATTATGTTCTTATTTGTATTTAATTATTTTTGATAAATATTTGTTTTATAAACATTGAATATTCTTGATTTTTTTAAATATATAATCAATTTAAAGATTTCTGTATTTATTATTTTTTTCAAATAAATATCAGGCTGCTTTTAACAAAATTGTTTGCGATATGAGAAAAATTTTTAAAAAGTTGGAAATTTTTTAAAAAATATAATTTTTAACAACAAATTTGTTAATAATAAATAGTTGATAATTATAAATAGTTGTTAATAAAAATGATTGTTAATAATAAATAGCTGGATTTAAATATGCTGAATCTAAAGTTTTTAAAAAATTAATTTCTTTTTTTAAAATATAATTTTTAACAACAAATTTAAAAATACAAAGCAACTTTAACTTCACTGGTTTCATCTTAGAAATCTTTTAGTATGCTCATAATACCAAGGTGTTTATGATACCCTAATTTAACCTAAGGGTAATAATAAAAAAATGAGATTGAAACAAGATTTTAAAAAATACTGGCTCATTTTAGAAAACTTTACAAATTGAAATGTAGACTTTTTATTTCATTTATATAAACAATCAACTAATCGAGTTTGTTTTAAAAAAAATGCATTTTTGAATAAAAATTAAAGCGAACTTAAATTTTCACCCAATTTTTGTTTAATTTTAAATAATATTAATTTTTTTTTTAACAAAAACCTTTTCTCTCTCTCTTTCTTTATCTCTCTCTCTCTCATATATACTACATATATATATATATATATATATATATATATATATATATATATATATATATATATATATATATATATATATATATATATATATATATATATATACATATATATATATATATATATATTTTATATATTATATTTATTATATATATATAATATATATATATATATATTATATATTATATTTATTACATATATAATATATATATATATATATATATATATATATATACATATATATATATATATGTATATATATATATATATAAATATATATATATATATATATATATATATATATATATATATATATATATATATATATATATATATATATATATATATATATATATATATATATATATATGTATATATATATATATATATTTTATATATTATATTTATTACATATATAATATATATATATATATATATATATTTATATATATATTTATATATGTATGTATATATATATATATATATATATATATATATATATATATATATATATATATATATATATATATATATATATATATATATATGTATATATATATATATATATATATATATATATATATATATATATATATATATATATCTATATATATATATATATATATATATATATATATATATATATATATATATATATATATATATATATATATATATATATATATATATATATATACAATATATATATAGATTGAAAAATAAAATTGTTTTTTTTTTAATTAAATTAAGTTTATTAAACGATTTTATAATAAAAAAAATATTTTTTGGTACAAAAATGAAAAATAATAGTAAAGGGAAAAAACCCTTAGATTATAATATAATATAAAATTCCCTTCGATTGTTTATTCTTCTGACTTAACATTATTTCATCTTTAATAAATAGCAAACTTAAAAAACTGATTTTTTTTTTTAAAGTGCTAGCTTGTTTTTAAAAGTTAAATTTAAGACTATGCTAAATAACTTTATTAGTTAAATTTAAATATAGGTTAAGTATAATATAAAATCAAATATATGTTTCAATATAGAGTTTTTAAAAAAGATTTTAAATTAAAATATTATTGCTTCATTTGTTTACATTTTTAAATGCAATACATTTTAGTTTTTAAGGGTTTACGCTTTATATTCTAATCAAGTTTGCAAGTTTGTTTTTGAAAAAAAAACATTCAAGAGTATAAAGTTTTTTTTTTTTTTAAAAACTCATAAATAGATTATCGTTCAATACTCTTTTTATTATTTATTTAATTTTTCTAAGAAGATAAAAGAGTTTTTGAAAATATAAGGTAAGATATATATACATGATACATGCAAAATATCATTTTCTAGTTTGTACCCGTTAGTGCACAAACCAATGGACTTCGCTTTTTGTTAAATTTACATACCGAAATAAGCAAAGCCAATTACTCATAAAATTTAACAATTTAACCACGGATATTAACTGCATAACAATAACAGTATAGTCTACTTTATATACAATTATAATTTAAAGACATTTTAATCGCCCAAAAGTTATAAATCAAGCCTGAAATTAAAAGGGACAGATGTCCCCAGAAGCAACCAGTCCCCGCAATCAACACTTTTTTTGCTAAAAAAGGTCCTTGCAAGAAAGCGTTAGTAACATATATATATATATATATATATATATATATATATATATATATATATATATATATATATATATATATATATATATATATATATATATATATATATATATATATATATATATAATATATATATATATATATATATATATATATATATACATATATATATATATATATATATATATATATATATATATATATATATATATATATATATATATATTATATATATATATATATATATTATATATATATATATATATATATATATATATATATATATATATATATATATATATATATATATATATATATATATATATATATATATATATATATATATATATATATATTATATTGTATGATATTTTGTATTTGCAATAAAATACAAAAAACTCTTGAACGTATAAGAGTGCTCAATAATAAATAAATAGGATTTATTTATATTGTTTAATAGAGCATTATATTAATTTATAAAAATAAAGAAAACAACTTTTTTATGGTACTAATAGTTTCATGCCTAAAGGCAATCAGATAAAAGTTGCAATTGTATTACTAAAAGCATGTGCCCTTTAAATCAACATTGCCTCGTTAATAACATAGTGTATCAAGCCACTCTATATCCAGGCACTCCAGACGGGATTGAAAAAGTGTATTTTGGAGTTAGTGAAACTGCTTTTAAACTTAGATACGCTAATCATACAAAATCTTTTAAGATCGAAAAATATAAAAACGATACTGAGTTGTCTAAGGAAGTATGGAAGTTAAAAGAAAATGGATTATTAAACCCGACAATTAAATGGAAAATTTTAAAACGTTGTAGATCTTACAATCCCACAATAAAACGATACAACTTATGTCTATACGAAAAGTATTTCATAATATCGTACACCTATGATAACTTATTAAATAAGAGGAATGAATTAGTATCTAAATGTAGACATAAAAGCAAGTTTCTCCTTTCGAATTTCGATACGGGTGATTAGGCAGCCGTTTTTAGTTTTTTGTTTTTGTTTTGTTTTGACGACGGAGCACACTCCACTGTAACTTTATATTTTAACGGTTTTTTTTGTTTCTTGTTTTGTATTACATGGCTGATGATTGCCTTTAGGCATGAAACTATTAGTACCATAAAAAAGTTGTTTTCTTTATTTTTATAAATTAATATATATATATATATATATATATATATATATATATATATATATATATATATATATATATATATATATATATTTATATATGTATATATGAACACCTAAATATATATATATATATATATATATATATATATATATATACATATATATATATGTGTATATATATATATATATATATATATTTATATATATATATATATATATATATATATATATATATATATATATATATATATATATATATATATATATATATATATATATGATATTTTGCATGTATCATGTATAATTATATATTTGTGTGTGTGCGTGTGTGTGTGTATTTGTGTGTTGTATAAACACACATTTGTATGTATAAATATATTCAATACTTTCAGAACTTAGGTGTTCAAAACAAATTGAGAGAAGAGATAAAAAAGAATGTATTTGATATAAAAAGTGTTTCATATGAAGAAGTTTTGAGTATCAAGTACTTAGATTGTGTTGTTAAAGAAACATTGCGCATGCATACACCTGTAGCATTTATTGGTAGAATAAATAAGAATCAAACAAAGTTTGGTGACTTTGATGTACCTGCTGGCTCTTTTTTACGAATTCCTATTGACAGTGCACATATGAACGAGTCTGTTTATCATGATCCTTATTCATTTAGACCAGAACGATTCTTGACAGGTTTGATATGATTTCTTGTAATAGTTTTTTTATTTTTTTTTTAATTCTTAAGATACAATTTTCTCCTTCCCTAAGATACACTTATGTCTTCAGAGAGACAAAAAAAAATTAATTTCATAAGTCCAAATTTATGACAAATGAATTGCAAAACAAAATATATGAAGCTTATATATATGGAATAGCCATTCTAAAAAAAGACTACATTTAGTTAAGGCCAAACTTTTTAGGTCAAGTGTTTAAACTATAATTAATTTTTCTGAAATGAAAAAACCGAATCCAAATATCTGCTTTAAAAGGTTTTCTTCTCGTGTTTGAATCTGATGGTACTTTGTTAATTGATATGATTAAACATTTTAATAATAATTGAGAATATGTTACTAAATATTTTCTCGATTTAAATAAAATAGATGGTGGCAGAAGTAAATTTCAACCTTTTATGTGAATGGATCGGATTAATGCTCTTAAACCAATAAAACTAACTGTAATATTTCTAGTGGAAAAAATGCTTTTTCGTCATCAGCAAATGTAATAATCAAGTTTGATGAATAAACTATGTAATAGTGACACCGTTTATGTTGAAGAAAAAGAAGTGACCATGAAAAGAGAACTGGAAAAAGTACAAAAAATACAAAACTCAATATTAAGAAAATTATATATATATATATATATATATATATATATATATATATATATATATATATATATATATATATATATATATTTGATTTTATTTTTTTATCATGTTTTTATTTATATTTATTTTAAATACTATTTTATCATTAGATTATTAATTTTTTTATATTATAATAAATATTTATTTTATTATTATATTATTAGTTTACTAGCTGGTATGACCCGTACGATAGGAGTCATGGCAAGTGTAATCCACACCCGACAATTTCTAAACTTGTTACTTAGTCTCTCTACTTTATTTATTTTAGTAAGCAACAAAAAATAAATCAATTCAAAATTCTGGTAGATGGTAAAATACGAACTTGAATAGCAAACCAAATTTATTGCTGGTTAACTTATAATTAATTTAAAAGAGAAGTCTAATTCAAATAAAATATATCGAATACCAATATGTTCCTAATATCACGACTGCTGTGGTCATCAAAATGTGTGGTTCGCTAAAAAGCACAGTTTGCATTTTTACTGACAACTTTAAGCTCTTGATTTTACTGTTCTATATAACTAATTAGTATTTTTACTTTTTACATTATTACTTACTATAATATTTTCTACATAATAAAAGTATCTTTAGCATATAAGATAGTTGCTTGAAACTTAGGCTATGATAATATTTTAACTCTCTCATAAGGATTTATTTAAAAAGCAAATTTGGACATTGACCTCAAAAGACCTAGTTATTTCAAATAAGTTAGCTGTTTCCCTGTTTGATAAATTTTATAAAAGCCTTTCTGTAAAAATACTCTTTACAAGTTTATTCAGTTAAACTGTTTTATCTGCGGAATTAGGCAAATAAATTTTTAAAGCTGTTGTTTGTGCGGTTGATACTTAATGAAAATGAAAACCGTCTTGACCGTACAAAAAGTGATAAAAGTATAAATGGTTTCAATCCACACATAAAAAGATAACGGAAACTTAAAAAATGAAGCAAAAATAGCCAATATATATCCATTCAAAACAATAATTCCAAAGACAAAAAATATAGGAATTTATTTGAGAAACAAACAAAAAATTTTCTTGAGGTAAAATAAAAAAATTAACTTAAAATAAAAAAAAAAATACAAAAAAATGTTATATTTAAAAATACTTATAAAAACAATTTAATTTAAACATTCTTTCATTATTTATATCTTTTAGTAAAAAGTATGAAGATTATCAAGCTTTCTTTTAGCTTTTTGAATACAATCAATATTCAGAACATTTCAGTCACAGGATAAGGAATTCGACCTAAAAATGGAACAAAATTATTATTGAATACACTTAATAAACATTAATTTGTTATGTACTCCATTTATTTATTTGAAAACTAAAAAATGTGACTAAACAGATAATAAATAAGAAACTTACTTTGTGAGGTTGTTTATCTTTTGTGAATATTTCAAGAATTATTGTTGCAAGTTTGGATTAACTAAAAACTTATGATCACAATAAGATATACTTTTTTTTATTTAAAAACTGAATCTTTAGCATGCAGCAAATGATTATATGTAGTCAGTTTAAGTAATGAAACTACCCAATAATCATTTTAAATTAAAGATCTCGACGTAAAAATAAACCAAGTCATCTAAACTATCAACGCAAAATAACACAAAATTTACATCACAAAATTAAAAAAATAACAAAATATATTACAGTAAACTTTAAATTACTTAAACCTTAAAGGGGACCAAGCAAATTAGCTTATTAAAGAAGGCTAGAGTTATTGGCAGTATAATCCATAAATAAAGGCTCAAATAAAATTTTAAAATTAGTTTAAGTTAAGGGTTATTGAATTATACAGAGTTTATTGTTCATATTTTAACTACTAACAGCACACACTAGAAACACTAACAAATTACCACATCATATGACACATGAAAATACTTGTCAAAAACTACAAATTAAGGACATTTACAAATAAAACATTTGCAAAATTTTCATTCAATGGCATACCTTCTTTATGCATGTGTATATGCAAATCTTATGCAAATGACTTGTTATGCATGTTTAATGCCAATGACTTGGTTTTAGAACATGCGACATATTTAATGTAGCATGAATAGACATAATTATTTAAAGAGAAGATACTGCTTATAAAAATCTAATATTAAAAATATATAAATAATAAAAACAATTAATAAATATATTGAAAGTAATATTAATAAATATATTGTGAGTACAACATCTTTCTTGTAGCAGAAGAAGCTGCAAAATAAAAATAAAAATTACAATAAAGTAATTAATCTATGCAAGAAGTCTAATATAAGTGTATATAACTATTAAATATTAAATATAAGTAAAACAATAAAACTATTGTACTCACTTAAACTTGACTTATTAAATTGATTGATTGAATTAAAAGAAATATTTGTACGACTTAAGATGTTTATTACATATATCAGGAAAAACACAATTTAAAAAATATTAGAGGAACCTCTTTGTAAAATATTTTTTGAAACTAAACACTTTTATGATTATTCAAATTCTTTGAAAATATTTATTCAATAACGTATGTAAGCACTTAGCTTATTTTGTAAAAACGTATGTAGGCAATCAGCTTATTTTGTATGTAGGCAATTAGCTTATTTTGTATGTAGGCAATTAGCTTATAGTATGTAGGCAATTAGCTTATAGTATATTATGTATAGGCAATTTGCTTATAGTAGCTTATAGTATGTAGGCAATTAGCTTATTTTGTAAAAACGTCAACTTTGATTTTTTTACCGTAAGGCTTTTTTTAAAATGGCTACAGTATTAAAAAATAGTATTGTACAATAAAAGCAATCAATTAATGTGCTAGGTCAAGTATGAGTACAACAACACTTATTGAGCCAGATGAAGCAGCTAGAGCTATATATAAAATAATGCAATAATAATAATACACTCTTGCGGTAAACTCACAAGGCAAGTCACAACACTTTAAAGCCATGGAAACAACATAACCACTGACACATAACACACATTGAAGCACTTTGTATATTACAGGAATTTACACATTTATGAAACAGAATTTATGATTGCATTTAATTATTTAATATAAAATTTAAAACTCTATAACTGATACAACAGATATTACAGATTACAACAGATTTAATAAAGATTTAAGAATACCTTATCATGTGGTCAAAAAATATAAAGTGATATATTATATGGTGAAGTGATATATTATATGGTCATATGCACAAATGAGTAATACACACGAATGAGTAACACACACAAATGAGTAAGCAGCATTTAATTAAACATTAATTACATAAGACTCATTAGTTTGTATTTAGGACTAAAAGTTTGTCTAACAACAAACCTATAACTATAATACTGAGACAAAGTAACTCAATGCTCCAGTTAATTGTGCCACCATCATTATTTTTTTCCTCTACTTTGGCAATGTTTTTAAATGCAGAAGTATGTGGGTTTTCTTGATTATTTAACGTTTGTTAAGAGTTGCATTAACTCATTTATACAACCACCACTACCAGGTTCCTCCATTCTGAATGACACTGTTACATTTGGATCATATATATTTAACTGACAATACGTGGGTAGAAAACCTTCTTCAGGCCTTAAAATTCTAACACGATGCAAAATTTGCCCATAAACCCAAAAACAGAAAGGACAATTATTTGTGGGGTGAGGTATTTAAATATAAATAAATAATATAATAAAAATATATAAATCAAGAAAAATATATAATTTAGAAACTTTATAAATACAACGTTATTTTTGTAATATTTGTTTAATGACATACCTCATATAATAATGTTTTTAAAATTTGTTTAATGACATACCTCGTATAATAATGTTTGTAATATTTGTTTAATGACATACCTCGTATAATAATTGTTTAACAACTTGAAAAAACAAACGATCTGGTTTTTTGTATAAAAGCAAACAGATTTTTTTTAAGTGCTTTAAAGGTAAGGTATTTAACGTTGCTCTTTGTTCTTTAATATGTAACTGTGTGAGATGCAAGAGTTTAGGAGATATATATATATATATAACACTAACTTTATCAAGAGTTTGACCTATTAAAAAAAGCATCGTCTTTTAGAGTCATTATAATCTTTTAATTTAAAAAATAAAATATGTCCATCTTATTACTAATTAAGTTGATGAAGCAAAGTTTTCGATCTTATTACTGATTAAGCAGATATTAACAGATATTAAGATTCAAGAGTACCTCATAGCGTGGTTAAAAATATATAAAGAGAAATATCTAAAAGGCCAAGCATACTCATAAAACTCCGTGTAAAAACGCGCACTAATGGTGAGCTGCAGCATTAAGTTAAGCAATAATATAAAGCGATTATACTCTTAACTTATAACTAGAT